CAGAAAAGGAAAAATTTAATTATTTTTTTAAAATATTAATAATACAAATAGAAACATCAGCGTTTGACACGGCACTTAAAAATAATTAATTCATCCTGCACTTTGCATCAAGTCGTACACGCACTGAGCTCGAGTAGCGGAGGAATTCTCATCGTGTCACGAAGACTTTTTTTTGTCAATGGTTTCAGCAGATGCGTGTCCTTTGGAACTTTCTTTGACAACTTTCTTTGTTCCACTTATCTTTCGTTAAGTATTGGTTCAGATTTGTAATCACCGCAGGGCTATTTTCAATTACAGTGTCACGCTTATCAGTCGTATAGACATGAATTAATTGTAATTATGCCACTGGTTTATCTGTGTACGCTCATACAAGAACAAAACTTTGAAAGTACAAAATGCGATCCTGAAATGACTGTAAGCGAATCTCATTTTCGGTTTTACTCATACGGACAGATGTTTCAAAATACAGGAATTAACATAAAGGCACACAAAATTTTGTAAAATATTCTGAACTTGTAATGAGGAGTGTTTCATTCAACCACATGAGATGAAATTTTACTCGCAGATGAGAAACTGTTCCTGTGTTTGGGTGAGTTGATCCTATTCTGGAAATGTAGGCCGGAATCTTTTGGACAAGAAGGAGTAATTTGGCTGAACAAGTTTAAAGTCTTTCCTTACTAGTTCCTTAGGCCATGATTTTGATGTCATACGAAATGTAAGCTGCTGATGGCAAGAAAATATTTCGTTTTATCAACTACGTGATAGTCATTGAAAATGATCAGTTAGACACAAGTTTCTTCTGATTTGTAGGTTAGGTTATTAAATGACACAGCAGAGGGATTTGTCTGCTCGGAGCGGCTTAAAGCCGTACGACCCTTGTCATGTATTCTATGGTTACGTAATTGAATTCCCTGTAGGCTCACCGACTATCCTGAGTGAAATTTTTAAGAATTTCTCGTTGACTATCACCAGCTTCTGTTCTGCATGACAGTAAAAGAAAAGATACTTAAATTATTTACGTTATCATCGTCCAGAAATCTTATATAAAAGTCTTATATCACTTCCGTTGGTACATAGGTAATGTTAATTCTTCAGTGCCTGAACACACACCTCGTACACCTCTGATTCCACGTAATCTGTTGCGAATCTTAGCTCTCGTTGAGAGTTTATAAACTGAAGTTTGTTAGTTGGTACTTCAAGAAATAGGCGTCATATCGAAAAATTATAATAATATTGACACATTTTTATTGGAACAATTTTCTGAAAGAATTGATAGAATGTAAAGTAGGAATTATATTGGATCTACGTAAACAAACATTCAGTTGAAGATTTCCGTCTTCTGGGTTGTTGCGCTGTGTAGTCTGGGCGATGTTAACCAACGTTTCAGAGGTCATACTGCCTCCCTCATCCGAGCGATGAGTATGAAGATTTCTGTCTTCTGGGGTGTTGCGCTGTGTAGTCTGGGCGATGTTAACCAACGTTTCAGAGGTCATACTGCCTCCCTCATCCGAGCGATGAGTATGAAGATTTCTGTCTTCTGGGGTGTTGCGCTGTGTAGTCTGGGCGATGTTAACCAACGTTTCAGAGGTCATACTGCCTCCCTCATCCGAGCGATGAGTATGAAGATTTCTGTCTTCTGGGGTGTTGCGCTGTGTAGTCTGGGCGATGTTAACCAACGTTTCAGAGGTCATACTGCCTCCCTCATCCGAGCGATGAGTATGAAGATTTCTGTCTTCTGGGGTGTTGCGCTGTGTAGTCTGGGCGATGTTAACCAACGTTTCAGAGGTCATACTGCCTCCCTCATCCGAGCGATGAGTATGAAGATTTCTGTCTTCTGGGGTGTTGCGCTGTGTAGTCTGGGCGATGTTAACCAACGTTTCAGAGGTCATACTGCCTCCCTCATCCGAGCGATGAGTATGAAGATTTCTGTCTTCTGGGGTGTTGCGCTGTGTAGTCTGGGCGATGTTAACCAACGTTTCAGAGGTCATACTGCCTCCCTCATCCGAGCGATGAGTATGAAGATTTCTGTCTTCTGGGGTGTTGCGCTGTGTAGTCTGGGCGATGTTAACCAACGTTTCAGAGGTCATACTGCCTCCCTCATCCGAGCGATGAGTATGAAGATTTCTGTCTTCTGGGGTGTTGCGCTGTGTAGTCTGGGCGATGTTAACCAACGTTTCAGAGGTCATACTGCCTCCCTCATCCGAGCGATGAGTATGAAGATTTCTGTCTTCTGGGGTGTTGCGCTGTGTAGTCTGGGCGATGTTAACCAACGTTTCAGAGGTCATACTGCCTCCCTCATCCGAGCGATGAGTATGAAGATTTCTGTCTTCTGGGGTGTTGCGCTGTGTAGTCTGGGCGATGTTAACCAACGTTTCAGAGGTCATACTGCCTCCCTCATCCGAGCGATGAGTATGAAGATTTCTGTCTTCTGGGGTGTTGCGCTGTGTAGTCTGGGCGATGTTAACCAACGTTTCAGAGGTCATACTGCCTCCCTCATCCGAGCGATGAGTATGAAGATTTCTGTCTTCTGGGGTGTTGCGCTGTGTAGTCTGGGCGATGTTAACCAACGTTTCAGAGGTCATACTGCCTCCCTCATCCGAGCGATGAGTATGAAGATTTCTGTCTTCTGGGGTGTTGCGCTGTGTAGTCTGGGCGATGTTAACCAACGTTTCAGAGGTCATACTGCCTCCCTCATCCGAGCGATGAGTATGAAGATTTCTGTCTTCTGGGGTGTTGCGCTGTGTAGTCTGGGCGATGTTAACCAACGTTTCAGAGGTCATACTGCCTCCCTCATCCGAGCGATGAGTATGAAGATTTCTGTCTTCTGGGGTGTTGCGCTGTGTAGTCTGGGCGATGTTAACCAACGTTTCAGAGGTCATACTGCCTCCCTCATCCGAGCGATGAGTATGAAGATTTCTGTCTTCTGGGGTGTTGCGCTGTGTAGTCTGGGCGATGTTAACCAACGTTTCAGAGGTCATACTGCCTCCCTCATCCGAGCGATGAGTATGAAGATTTCTGTCTTCTGGGGTGTTGCGCTGTGTAGTCTGGGCGATGTTAACCAACGTTTCAGAGGTCATACTGCCTCCCTCATCCGAGCGATGAGTATGAAGATTTCTGTCTTCTGGGGTGTTGCGCTGTGTAGTCTGGGCGATGTTAACCAACGTTTCAGAGGTCATACTGCCTCCCTCATCCGAGCGATGAGTATGAAGATTTCTGTCTTCTGGGGTGTTGCGCTGTGTAGTCTGGGCGATGTTAACCAACGTTTCAGAGGTCATACTGCCTCCCTCATCCGAGCGATGAGTATGAAGATTTCTGTCTTCTGGGGTGTTGCGCTGTGTAGTCTGGGCGATGTTAACCAACGTTTCAGAGGTCATACTGCCTCCCTCATCCGAGCGATGAGTATGAAGATTTCTGTCTTCTGGGGTGTTGCGCTGTGTAGTCTGGGCGATGTTAACCAACGTTTCAGAGGTCATACTGCCTCCCTCATCCGAGCGATGAGTATGAAGATTTCTGTCTTCTGGGGTGTTGCGCTGTGTAGTCTGGGCGATGTTAACCAACGTTTCAGAGGTCATACTGCCTCCCTCATCCGAGCGATGAGTATGAAGATTTCTGTCTTCTGGGGTGTTGCGCTGTGTAGTCTGGGCGATGTTAACCAACGTTTCAGAGGTCATACTGCCTCCCTCATCCGAGCGATGAGTATGAAGATTTCTGTCTTCTGGGGTGTTGCGCTGTGTAGTCTGGGCGATGTTAACCAACGTTTCAGAGGTCATACTGCCTCCCTCATCCGAGCGATGAGTATGAAGATTTCTGTCTTCTGGGGTGTTGCGCTGTGTAGTCTGGGCGATGTTAACCAACGTTTCAGAGGTCATACTGCCTCCCTCATCCGAGCGATGAGTATGAAGATTTCTGTCTTCTGGGGTGTTGCGCTGTGTAGTCTGGGCGATGTTAACCAACGTTTCAGAGGTCATACTGCCTCCCTCATCCGAGCGATGAGTATGAAGATTTCTGTCTTCTGGGGTGTTGCGCTGTGTAGTCTGGGCGATGTTAACCAACGTTTCAGAGGTCATACTGCCTCCCTCATCCGAGCGATGAGTATGAAGATTTCTGTCTTCTGGGGTGTTGCGCTGTGTAGTCTGGGCGATGTTAACCAACGTTTCAGAGGTCATACTGCCTCCCTCATCCGAGCGATGAGTATGAAGATTTCTGTCTTCTGGGGTGTTGCGCTGTGTAGTCTGGGCGATGTTAACCAACGTTTCAGAGGTCATACTGCCTCCCTCATCCGAGCGATGAGTATGAAGATTTCTGTCTTCTGGGGTGTTGCGCTGTGTAGTCTGGGCGATGTTAACCAACGTTTCAGAGGTCATACTGCCTCCCTCATCCGAGCGATGAGTATGAAGATTTCTGTCTTCTGGGGTGTTGCGCTGTGTAGTCTGGGCGATGTTAACCAACGTTTCAGAGGTCATACTGCCTCCCTCATCCGAGCGATGAGTATGAAGATTTCTGTCTTCTGGGGTGTTGCGCTGTGTAGTCTGGGCGATGTTAACCAACGTTTCAGAGGTCATACTGCCTCCCTCATCCGAGCGATGAGTATGAAGATTTCTGTCTTCTGGGGTGTTGCGCTGTGTAGTCTGGGCGATGTTAACCAACGTTTCAGAGGTCATACTGCCTCGCGCATTCCTTGGTGGAGGAACTGTGAGTGAATACAATCCAGTCTATACTTATCATCCGATTCAATATCCTTACAGAACCTCGCAACCGAGTGCCTGGAAACCGTGGTTCGTATTCTGCATGCCCAGTGTTAAAATCTTTGCCTGGAGACAAGTTATACTTTCTGAGGTACTTTTTTTTTTTGGGGGGGGGGGGGACTTCTCTGATAGCATCCTGAGTATCAATTGTCCTCTACCGTTTCCTTTCAGATTCTTTACCATTCATTTTTATCCTGTCATTCGACGTTGTTTAATCTGGAATTATTTATTAAACACTTTTTATTTTCTCTCTAGGGACATCAGTTCGCCGTGAATAATTAGAAGACAAATACAATTGACGCGTTGGTCTGAGCCGCGCTGATTGCTGGAAGTGTGACGTCATCAGCTGATCCAGTATGCGCTGCTTCTGCAAGAGAATTCGCACCCATCACGTGAAGGTGGTACTACTGGACGAGCAGGAACTCATACAGGAGATACAGGTGAGCAGTCGGATTTAACCTTTCAAAGTCCAATGGTAACTATATGTACCACCTTCTTTATCAATCAGTAGCTCTTCATTTTGTATTTACGTGTTTCGTATGATTCTCACTGTAAACAGCGATTATTTCCTTAAACAGCGTTAACCAGTTGATATTTTTAATGGTGAGGTCTTGTGTTTTCTTCGCGGTACGGACTGAATTCTTAAATACGTAATATTTAGACGAGCTTCGACTTCAAAGGGTTAAACAGTTGATATTTGTAATGGTGAAGAGTTGTGTTTTCTTCGCGGTACGGACTGATTTCTTAAATACGTAATATTTAGACGAGCTTTGACTTCAAAAGGTTAACCAGTTGATCTTTGTAATGGTGAAGAGTTGTGTTTTCTTCGCGGTACGGACTGAATTCTTAAATATTATTTTTACGAGCTTCGGATGTAGTGTCTCCATACCAGCATTTCAGATAAACATGGAGTTTCCATCTTTACTTCAGCCCTGATGAGGGATAGAATATGTTTATCCGAAACGTCGATATCTATCTACGTACAAGC